GATGGATGAGTTAATTAGAAAATGGCTGAATGAATGGGTGAGTGCATGAATGGGAAAGAGCCTGAACAGATGAATCCGTGAATGAGTGAAAGATGGAGTGGGAAAAATGAGAGGATGAGCCTGGGAGCAGGTGAAAGAATGAATGGATGCATGAATAATTTAATTAGGAAACGATTGAATGAATGACTCAGGCCGCCACCCCTGGTGCTAAGCAAGGGGGACTCACTGACGGGACCCCAGAGATGGGGAGGAGCTGCTTCCCTGTGGGCAGGGCTTCCTGCCTCCCCTGCCTGCCTGGCAGCAGAGCCCCTAGGCTCCCAGCCCATTGCCGCTGTTCCATTATGTATAGATACAAGCGGGGCTGCGGCAGCGTCTTGCCTCCTCACCAGAACTGCACCCGAACCATTGAAACGCAGATGTCAGTAACATAACATATCTCTGGCCTACCTGTCTCCCTCACTGCTGAGAAATAACTCGCAGCAGCAGGTTAAGCTGACAATAAACACAGGAATTGACTTCAGTGGGAATGAACTTGCCTGACTATTGACAAAAACGTAAGGTGATGAAACCCACGCTGGGCTTCCGGCTTGCTCAGGTGGCCGCCTGCCCCTGCCCCTCCCTTCTTGGGCTGGGGATGAAGGACAGAGGCCCCAGGAAGATGATAGACAGGGTCCCTAGACCTGAGCCAAGAGACTGGCCGCAATGTCCTGTGACGAGGAGCAAGGGCACAGCTATGCGGCAAGCACGTGCCTTTGCCACGGAGAGGATTCTAGAATAAAGAGTGGGTGCTGGGAAGGCCCGCGCCTCCCCCTCTTCACTCGGGCAGTTGGCAGAGACCAGGTAAGGGGGCTGCCAGCTGCGTCCTTCTAGTCCCGGTCCCACTCTGGGCTGAGATGTTGTCCTGCAGCCCCTCCTCCATTCAGCAAGACACCCCAAACCAGCTCTGCACCGTGGCCCGGAGCAGGCAGGGGCTGTGACACTCGGGAGAGCGGCTGGGGCCCCAGGGCTTCGTCGTTCAGCCATGGCCAGCAGCCTGCCCGCCGGGCAGCCGGCCGGAAGGGAGATGAAAGTAGGCAGACTTCAGCAGAGGGCACTCAAGCCTTAGGAATCTGTACGCGGCTACCGCCGCTGCCGCCGCCGCCGCCGCCTTTGCTCCGCGGTTTCCCAGGGAAGTGGGGATCATGAATCTCCGTAACTGGAGCCCAGGGCCTCATCACTCACCGTGATTGTAGGGGACTGAGAGCGGAGTGGATCAGGCTAAACAAAACACACACACAAGGGACTCTTCCAAAGGATCGCTCTCTCGGCCACCACCGCGGCCCCTCCCTCACCTGCAGAAGCTGGGGAGGGGTCTGCGGAGGGGGCAGGCAGTCTCCCTTTTCTTCCTGCCCTGGCCCCCACCTGTGAGCCGGTGGGAGACGTGAATCTCGCTGGCACTGGCTTGGGCCAGCTCAGCCGTGGTTGTTTTTTTTTTTTTTTTCGGGATGTTAATGAAATGCGGGAGCACTTGTCCTTTCAGACAGCGGCCCCTTTTATTTGGGAATGAAAAGCTGCATTAGTCTGAATGAGGTTTGGAGGCCTCGTAAATCCTGCGCTGGCTGCCTCGTGGGGGAGCTGGGAGCGGAGGCCTGGCTGGTGGGTAGACTTGTTTACCAACAATTCCAAACGCCGGGAGTGGCCGCTCCCAGTGCCCAGAGATGCAGCTTGAGAGAGTGCCAGCCCTCCTGCCTGCCAGCCACCGGGCAGCCTGGAGAGGCGCACGGCAGTGCCGGCGATAATGGCGAAGAGGGAAAGGGAGAGAGGAGGGCAGGATGCTCCTCCTAGGGCCCCTGAGCTCCCAGTCTGCTCCAGTAGAGGCCACCGCACCTGTTCTACTCTTATCTGCTTCGCAGGCAGCCAGAAGTGATGCAGATCTTTCCCGGGCCAGTCCCCGCTCAGCGCAGGCGCTGCAGGACACGGGTGAGCCCTGCAAGCTTAGGAGTCTATTGAACCTGCATGGGAACCTGGGCCCCCACCCACAGCACATGGCAAAGAGCGGTGCCCCCAAAGTGTTAGGACAGGGATGGAGGGGAAGGAGGCAGGGAGAGAGGAAGACAGAGAGGGAGGGAGAGAGGAAGGGGAGGGGAGAGGGAAGAGACATCACATATTGGCTGGATGACTTTGGACCTCTCCCTTGACCCCTCTGAAATGCAGAGTCCTGACCAGCAAAATGGAAAAATGACAACGATCCCACCCCAGCGGCTGTGGACCGGATGAGGGGAAGCGATGCGTGGAACACAGAAAATGCGTAATAAATGCGACCCGTCCTCACGGCCACTGCTGATGCTTCTGCTGTTGCAATGCATCCCCCCCTCCCCGAGCCTGGGCGTGAACCAGCTGCGGAAGGGCTGTGCCACAACACTGCCTGCAGCTAGGTCAAGAATAAGGCACCTCCTGCGTTGGGGCTGCAGCTTCCCTGTGACCCCAGGCTTCCGGCTGGGCTGCCAGGCCCAGCGATAGGGCCCTACAGCAGGGAGGCAGCAGAGCAAAGTCTCTCTCTGCCCTGCTCTGGAATGCCGCAGGGGGAGGGGTGGAGGGGGCTCGAAGGTGACAGGGTCCCATGTTCACCCTCTGGCGCGGCGGGGTGGAGGAGGGGGCAGCATCCATTCACTTCTCTGGGGTACCTCTCTCTCTCTCTCTCTTGATTTTGCTTTGGCTTTGTTTTTGTTTTTGTATTTGGAGGCTGCTCTTCCTCCTGTTCCCCATCCCTCCCTCCTGCTGGCCGCAGATCTGCTCCTTCTCTGCCTTTCTGTTTCTCCTGTTCTTCCCTGCCAAGCCATGTGTCCCCTGAGCCCTGTCCCTTTCAGGCCAGGGGCTGCCTGCACCAGGAGCAAACGCAGTCAGCACCCAGGCTCTCCCCTCCGCGCCCTAACCAGCTGTGGTGGCCACTGCTGGCCATGCCTCTTTGGCCCTGCGCCTTCCACTTCTCCAGCAAGGCACAAGAATTTCCTCCTTCCAGGACAGCCAGGCCCTGTGGTTCCTCGGGGCAACCAAACCAGCCCTGGAAGAAGCAGCAGCCTCCCAGGGAGAGCGCCCCTCTGCTCTGTCTGCAGGGTGCGGCCCGGCTCCCTTCTCCTGATCTTCCTCCTGGCTGGTGCCCGCTGAGGCCCTTACTGTCCAACAAGAGGTGGCAACTGCTGCTCCTCTGGCTCTTGTCTGCAAGTCCCTGGAACATTTTCCAGGGGCTGCTGGGGAAACTGGCCGCGCCAGCTGAAGGGGCGAGGGAGGTCCATGGATGGCCAGCACCCTGCACCCCACACCCCGCACGGAGTGGGGGGCTGGCCTGCAGGGGCAGGCTGACCTGTGAGGGTGACCTCTGCTCCCTGCCAGGGATCCCGGGGAACCTCCTCCTCTTACAGTCACAGTAGCCTGCACTTGGGGCGGGAGGGAGTCCCCTAGTCAGTGACAGGATTAGACACATGGCATATTCACACCGGCTACAACGCCACGGTCCCCTGCACCCAGACTGGGAGGGGGAAAAAAAAAAGACAGCGGTTGGGAGCACGACTCACCGTGCATTTGTAAGAAAATTAAAAGATTTGCTCGTCAGATGTTGGGGGCCACGCTCTTTGCAGACAGCTGGCAAATGGGAGAGATTGGGAATGATGGAATAGATCAAATTATTTAAATGAGAAAAATAAATTCACATACAGCCTCGCTGCTGCCCGGTGACAGATCCCTTTATTTATCTACTGTATCGGCATCGCTTTGTCTCTGTCAAAAAGGTCATTAAACTCGCCTAACTACGGAATTCGCGGCTCCTGCTCCAGCCTCGCTCCACAGCCCTGCGCTTCCCTCGACACCCAGCGCCACTTGAAAAAAATTTATTATTGCTAATAAACAGCGTCTCTTTTTAACCCCTTCTGCTAGTGCCCCCGTGGGCCCTGCTCCATGCCACGGAAAACGGCCGTTTCTCTTTAGGATGTCTCGGGAGGAGTGGGGGAGGGGGCCGCGGCCGCGCCGAGAGAAGCGGGGAGCCAGCGCTCTCGCCCCTTCTCCGAAGGCGCCGACTGAGCGGCCTCCCCCGCAGCCGCGTGCGCGCAAGCCCTGACTCCCATCGCACCGGGTCTGGCCTGGGCTCTGCCACCCCTACCAGCTCCCGCAGCAGCCCTCGCGCGGCGCGTGGACACTTCTCTTTGAATTCGGTCTCCCAGCCCCAACTCTGCTTCCACGAGGGGTGGGGTTGGGGAGGGAAGCCGGCTCCCTGGTCAGTCTCCGGCCGCCGCCGTCCCGCCAGCGCCGGCCGCGTGGGAGCTGGAAGGCGAGGCGCTGCAGACGGCGGGCTCCGGTTTCGCTGCCGCCCGCGGGCGCGTCTCCTCCAGCTGGTCGGGCCGCTGGGCCGCTGCCGTCTCCCCGCTTGCGGTGCCAGCGCTCTCGCTCCGTGCCTGCCTGCCGGGCTGCGTGCCCTCGCAGTTGAAGGGGCTGGGGGCGGCAAGGGCGGATGGGGACGTCTGGGAAGCCAGCGCGAGTGCCGATCCTCTGGCGGTCCCCTGCGCCCGGGTCCAGGGCCCCCTTCCCTGCCCCCTGCGCAGGTGTGAGCGCGCGAGTGTGCGCCCGGGCGAGTGTGAGTGCGAAGTGTGTGTGCGCGGAGGGAGCGCGGGCGGCGGGCGGCGCGGGAGGCGGGAGCAGGGCGCGGGGGGAGGGGGCTGGGAGGGAGTGTGTGTGCGCGCGTGCAACTCCACTCCGGGGCTTTGTGCGAGCCCGGGCGATAGCATCGGCGGCGGCTGGAGGAGGAGCGGCCGGAGACGCGTGCAGCCCGCCCGCCAGCGCCCGGCAGCCGGGGCAGGTGGGAGCCCGCGCGGGAGCCGAGCCGACGCGAGCCGGAGCCGAGTCCGAGCAGAGTCCGGGCGGAGCCCAGGAGCCTCGCTCGCGGGCGGCCCGTGGGCGGCAGCCGGGCGGGGCGGGCGCCGGCGGGGCGGCCCCCCAGTAAGATGTGCGCGGCGCCGCGGGGCGCCCCCCACTCGCAGCGGCGCTCGGGAGCCCGGCGGCTGGGCCAGGCGGCGCCTCGGGGGCTGCTGCGAGCCCGCGCCTAGAGCTGCCGCCCCAGGGAGCCCGCCACGGCCGCGCCCCGGGCACGCTCGGCGGCGCCCAACGATGACCGCTCCCTGGCGGCGCCTCCGGAGTCTGGTTTGGGAATACTGGGCCGGGCTCCTCGTGTGCGCCTTCTGGATCCCGGACTCGCGCGGGATGCCCCACGTCATCCGGATCGGTAAGGGCTGTCTGGAGCCGGGGGTGGTCTCAGTGCGCCCGGGCGGGGCTGGGAACGGGGGTCTCGCAGCGCGATCCCGAGAGATTTCCTCAGCCTCTCTGCGGGCTGCCGGGGCCGCCTGACCGCCAGGAGCTCGTCCCGGGGAGGACAAAGTTCCAAAGCTGGGGTCACCGGCCTTACTTATTGGGGAGGAGGCGGCCGGGCCGCTGCGGGCGCGGGGCCCTTGGCGCGCTCCTGGGAGGTCAGACTCGGTGGAGTGTAGCCGAGGGGTCCAGTCCCAAGCCGAGTGGCGGGCGCGTTCCGCCGCGACTGCCTGCAGATCTGGCCGCAGCCCGAGTTCTGGAACCCGGCATCTCCACGGAGCTGGAACCCTGGGGAAGGCGCCAACTTCTCTGCTGTGTCTTCCTCGTTCCCCGCGGGCCTCCCGCGCCCACCTCGGGCACAGCTGGAGCGGCGGCCGCTGCGGGGACGCAGAGTGCGGATTCGCAGGAAGAGGGCAGCCGCCCCCGGCCTCGGTGGCCCCCGTTCAGCCCCGGGGCGTGGGGGCAGGGCAGGAGCGGTCCCCCGCCGGGCGCTGCCGCCTGTCCCTCGGGACTCAGGCCTCTCTCCGGCCCGTGCCGGCTTGGGGTGGGGGGCAGGGAGCGGCGGAGGCGGCGCGGCGCGACCGGGGAGGGCGGCCGAGCGCGTCGGGTGGTTTGCAAAGTTAGCTGAAATCCCTCCGCAGCTGGCGGCGGCTGGCGGGGCTGCGCTCCTCTCTCCTCGCCCGAGACTCTTAACTCGGGGCTTTAACTTTGTTGTGGCCGCTCGAGGCATCGTGGGGGCAGCGCTCGAGGCGGTGCGTGTGGCCGTGCGTGTCCCAGGCCGGCGGTCGCTTCCGTTGTCGTGGGCCCTTCGCCCGCTGCCAGGCCGGAGACCTGGGCCGCCTGGGTTCTCGAGGCGCCATCGCAGGCGTCTGGCACAAGGCGGCGGGCCGAGCTCCGCCGAGCCAGGGCCACCTTCCTCCTACGGGGCTTTTCTCCAGGTGCGGACTTCGGGCTGCTGGCGGCGGGAAGCGAGCGGGTGCAGGGAAGCAGGGTCGGGCTTGGCTTCCGGACCCGCGTTTTCCACGGAGGTGGTCGGAGACCCCAGAGGGGGTCGTCTCCTCTCTGGTTCTCTGTCCTATCTCGTAGGAGCCAGGCCATCCTGACCCCGACCTCTGGGTGCAGGCGGAGCCAGAGCGGAGCTGAGGTCTTTCGGTCAGGTCGGGGCTCAGGACCCTGGCCGGCAGACATCCAGGCCTGGGAGGGGAGCCTGGGGACAGCCCTCACCGTCAGACTTAACCCTTTGTGGTCTAGGCTGCTCCTGGCGACCCGAAAATGTCTTTTCTCTGTGTGCCTTTGCCTGCCCCAGCAGTGCCCAGCTTGGTCACTGCTCCAGGGCCGCAGACCCTCGGTAGTTCGACGAACCCTTCCTTTATTCCCTTTTTAGGGGCGAGTTGCCTGGCAAGGTGTCCTTAGGGGAAAAAGGGGGAGAGACCCAAACAGTGTTGTGTGCCAGCCCCACGCACTGCAGGTCCTCCTTGCGGGCCCCTCCACCAGGCGGCTAGGAGGGGTGTGCTCCCAGCCCAGCCTCAGGGGTGGAAGTCTCTGGAGGCCTAGAGAGACCGGAGCAGAGAAGGGCAGCCCTGGGTGGATCTTTTGGAAAGGGGCAGGATGGTGTCCTTACCTGCCCCTCCTCCTGTGGCCGGGAGGCTCCCGAAGGCCGCCAGAAGCAGCAGAGCCGCCAACTGCCCACCCCTCTCTGGGTTCAGCCGGTAATAATGCAATTAAAGGGCAGCAGAGCCCGCCCCTCTTCTCATCCTCTTGGTATTAAGCCCCAGGATGAATTAGCGTGTCGGCCCAGGCCATTCATAGCCAAGAGCCCTGCCTGACTTGAGTCCCAGCCCAGGGACTGGGGTGCTGCGCCGGTGCCAAACGTGACTGCCGGAGCCGTGCCAACTGGGGTGGAGGGGAGGCGCTGAGGCCTCCGGGCTTCTCTGCGGCTGCCTGGGGAGCTGAGCTTCTGGCCCTCTGGGCCTCCAGTCGAACCCCGGCTGGAGCCAATGGACATGGCAGAGAGAAAGAGGGGGAGAGAGAGGAGGGGGCAAGCTCATGGGAAACCCAGACACACTGCCTTGGCTGGGCCTGATGCCATCTCCCTGTGCCGGTCCTTCCCATCCATGGGATCTCAGGGCTTCGGCTGGGGCTGCAGGAATTGAGGCCCTGGAAATTGGGCTCCAAGGTGTGCTGGGTGCTTCTGGTCGCCTAGACTGGAGCCTGAGCCGGCTGCACTTGAAGCTGAGTCCTGCTGCTGCAGACAGGCCTCACCGAGTACCAGTCCAGAGAGGATTTTCCAGCAGGTGCCAAGGGGCTCTTCTGGGCTGGGAGAGCCTTGTACCCGCCCCCTCTCTTTGTGCCTCTTTTGGGGACTGAAATTTCCTCTTAGACAAGGAGATGGATAGCTCAGCAGTGTGACAGAGTGTTCAAACAATCCGTCTTGAATAGATGAATTGCATTGCTCTGTCTTTTTGTAATTGTGTCTATCAGAGGGAGAGGTCAAGGCATTGATTGCTTGGATGGTTTGCAAGTAACAAAGGAGAGTGAGGGAGAGAGTGAGGGAGAGAGAGTAATTGGATTGTAGTCTGCGGGAAAAAAATGATCATTGATTATTTTATATGAATATGTGGAAGATGTATCCTGCATATGACTATCAAGTGTTGCTCATTGAAGGTTTGCAAGGCATATTGTTCTGCATTTTATTATTATTACCATCGTTATTATTGTTTGGATGGATCCTGATCTTAGCTCACGGAAGGTGGTCCTCTCAGTCCAGTGGCTCCAGTGACCTCCTGTGGGGGCCTGGATTTCCAGGTTCCATGACCTGGAAGCTGAAGTGGAGGAGGGGGGGCACTGGGCTGGGAGACAGAGGCCTGTCGCTTCCGCTCTGTATGCAGACCAGATCACACTCTTCCTCCCGCCCTGAGCCTCAGTTTCCCTATCTGTAAACTGTGTGACTGGCCTTGATGGTTCGTTTAGTCTGTGGTTTCAGAGTTTCCTGTAGTGCATTCTGGCGAGAACTGTTGGAGCCATTGTAGGTTTCAAGGCTAGCCCTTCTCTCCTGCCTTGGCCTGGGGCCAGGGTGGATCAAGGGCCAGCCTAGGATTTGGAAAGGGAACCAGACAGGGGTGGCAGCAGCCAAGGAAGTCTGGCTAGCACTTCCCTGCGATGAGGAGCGAGAGTGGCTGCTGGTGTGCTCCGGCCAGCCAGTGGGGAGATTCAAAGCCAAATGACTGCAGATCTATAAAGCAGGTGTACATGTGTATGGGGGTGGGCGGGAAGGCTTGGGCCAGCTCGGGGCCCCCTGAGCGTCTGCAGACGGAGCAGAACTGAACTGCAAGGTCCTGAGCTTCCTGAATGAACTGGGATCCCCAGGGGAGTGAGGCCCCCTCCCTCCAGCCCCCCAGTTCCTAAACCAGCCTCACCCTCAGCTCTTCTGATCGGTTCACCCAAATGGTCCCGAACATTTGTCTCGAGTTTGGAAGCCGCTGCGTGTGAAACAATGAGAAATTTCTCAGTGACTGGTGATGCGCTGAAAGATCCCGCCGTGTAGGAACAGACAGCAGCTGAATGAAGATCAATAGGGTTTCCCCCTGGAAGTAAATAGCTTCAGACAAGACCTGGGAGTGGCCCGAGGGGCCCGGGAGAGCATTAACTGGAGGAATTTCTGCCTCCACTTCTCAGCCCAGCTGCTCCCATCAGCCTGGAGTTTAATTTCTTCTTGATGCCTGCCTCGCGTTGCGCAGAGGTGTCAGTGCGACCTGGGGGTTTGTAGAGGTGGTTCATGCAGGCTGAGCCAGGCACCCACCCCGGCCAAAGTCGCCTGCCTTCCCCTTGAGCCCAGGGCTGCCCTTGCTAGTCCAACCCACTGTGCCCTTTGATAGTGTTTTGGAGGGGCGGCTCTTGGCCCCACCCCACCCCTCCAGGAATGCTGGAGAGCTTGGCTGTTTTAGGGGCCCTTGTGGGGGCTGTGGGGCTCCCTGAGTCCCAGTGTTCTCAAGGCAGTCTCTGTCTCAGGCTAGAAAGCAGAGCCCCTGCCCCGGGGGAGGAGGCACAGATGCCCTTTTGGGCCTTACAACCACTTGTCTCTGCCCTGCCCTCCCCGCAGCCCTCGGGACTGCTTGGGTGGTCTTTCAGGGGGAGACCTGTTTGGGCTTAGAAACCAGGCTGTGTTTCTCCTGCACAAGCCTCTGCCACCGCCATCCTGTCACAGTCAGCTGCCCCAGCCTCCTCCTCCGGAAGCTGCAGCCCTGCCTGCTTGCCCAGGACCCTCAGAGGGAACAGAGAGAGCCGTGGTTTCTACTCTGCTGGGTAGAAGCTCCCCAGGCCCTGCAGGGCCACAAAAATGTCAGCTGCTGCAGCCGTGGGGCAGGGCCCTCCTCCAACAGACTCTGGCTTGGCCTTGCCACTGCCCCCCCACTCCCCTCCACCTGATCCCTCCTGGCCTGGGAGGCTGGTGGTGCTGAGGCTGGAGCCTTGGAGGGATGGAGGTGCAGAAATGGAGCCGATGCCGATGCCGATGGGGCCAGCAGCCTGGCCGCCGGCTCCTTTCCTGGAGTGGCTGTACTCCCAGGCGCTGATTCCCCGGCAACAGCACCAGAGGGCAGTGTGCCTGTGCAGAGAGGGTTGCCATGCATCCTGCCTGGGGCCCCATTGGTTTAGCAGCATAATCAAAATCATGAGTACAGAGGCCCCCAGCTACTGGACCCTCAGCTGCCAGGCGTTGCGCTGAGTGCCTTTTTAAAACCACGACCAGTGGCTCAGTGAGTACTAGGTGCTCAGTAAACATCGCTGTGGCATTTGCTCGCCATCTTGTTCAAGCCTTCACAGGAAACTGAGCTTGGTGAGGTCCTTTGTCCCAGATCCCTGGGTCTGTATGTGTTGGAGGCAGGGTCAGGACGGTGGTTGTCTGGCCCCAGGTCTTGT